GTCTCTATACTGTACTCGAGCTACTTATGGTTATTTTATTCATAAAGGTATGATTATAAGTAGCCGGCAGGAAAGGTAGTTATTTTACGGATAATGCCGCCTATCTCGGTAACGGAAAAGACCTGAGCAGAGATATTTTAGAATTAGTCATGTCCTTATGCTTATAAGCAACTTACAAAAAAGATTTTTCTTCAACTCGTCTGCAAAAAATCTCCAGCCAAATCTATTTCGACTCCATATGATTTCACAGGAAGGTTAAGCTGAATCTTTTAACTATCAATCGACGTAACAATTATCCTAAAGTTCATAAGCGTTGAGGCAGGTATACGTTGACTGATCATATTTGACCTAAATGGGGTAATTACGATCAGTCGATACCTGCTCGCTGGAAATTGATTAATACTAATTAACGCTCGTGAACTTTAAGATAATTATTACATCGAACGATAGGTAAGACTCACGAAGGAAGTACTCTAACTGATAAATCGTTTTTTTCACCAAACTTAGTGTGTTACAAGTTATCAACCACGCTTATTTCGAATATCTATATGAGACGGGCTACTAGGTCTTCCTACAGCGGTTTTCTGAAAAACTGTGTTTTCCGAAACTCCAGAAATCTCCGAAACTTTTCGTAATAAGCCATGATTGCAGCCCGCACAATTGTGATCAAAATGAGACATTCACCAGCTTTACACGATCTTTCTTTGAAAAGTTATAGTATTTACAAGAAAAGCCCTCAATTTCGTTTTCCTTTTTCTGTCTATATCTCTGAGCTGACAATGAACATTTAAGGCTTTCGGATTATCCTATAAATCCAGTTTCATAAATCAAAATTTTATGAAAATTTTTACAAGTTTCATAAAATTTTTCATTTTTATGTAACTTGTGGGTTAAAAAAATCAACATCCAAGTTTGCTAAATTTTATGTGTGATTTATGCTGTTGCAGGTTTAATTGATTAGTTTCTTAATTAATTGTAGTATTAATATGTTACCTAGAGACATATAACATTATATAATTGGTATATGTCACATAGAGACGTGTGTTTGTGGTGTTTTAATTGAAAATAATGATTTATTTAATTAAAAACAGTATCAATGTGTCTCTAGGTGCTATATGAGGCTCGTAGAGACGTAGTGACTCAACCTAATAGAAGTGCTAATATCTCACCAAGATAGGTATGAGTTACTTTGAGACATAGACTGATTCAAATAAAAATGTGAAATTTTATTCTACAACTGTATATACAAGTCTCTAAGTGAGATGTGAGTCTCTCAGAGACATATGCTTACTCGTACAAGAAGCGGTATTTTGAACGGGAGAGATATGTGTAACTTGGTGAGTTATGAATCGTTCAGTGACATGTTCTAACTAAATCAATTGAATAAAAACTCTATGTTTTATTTTAAAAGGACTAAAAATCACCCTCTCAGAGACCTATACGTTGCTCAGAGACATATTCTGTTGATATTAAGAAGCTCAGTGACAGATATTGACTTCTATTTTCATTTTAGAATTCTTTGAATAACTTACTGAGAGACATATAGAATAATTTGCAGTTCTATTTTGGCACCAGCTGATTATGAATCATCAACAGAGAGAGATACAGTGTGTCGTGTAGTCTTTATTCTTTTTTTCTGTCTACTGTTCAATATATGTCACTATGAGACTTATACTAATATACTACTGTAACAACCCTCTTAGAGACATCTGCAGTTACCTTAATTCATCAATTAAGCCCATTTAATTAACAACCATGGGTCTCTCGGAGACATGTGCTGATTAATTTAGAAAGTTTTTCTCTGAGAACCATGCTAAACTTTTTATGAAACTTGTAAAAAGTTTCATAAAATGTTTCATTTTTATGTAACTTATGGGTTAAAAAAATCAACATCCAAGTTTCCTAAATTTTATGAAACTTTTTACAAGTTTCATAAATGTGTGGTTTATAAAACTGGATTTATGAAGACAGGATATCCCAGGCTTTCCTTATAAATTCTATAACTTTGCAGAGAGAGGTCGTGTAAAAATGGAGGATGTCTCATTTTAATCAGAATTTTGCGTGCTGAAATCATGACTTATTAAGAAAAAGTTTCGGAGATTTTTTGGAGCTTCTGGAAAACTGGTTGCGCTAGTAAGACCTGGCAGGCCGTCGGAATCAGAGTTGTCGATGATCTATAACACACTAGGTTTGATGAAAAAAGTGATTTATTAGTTAGGGTACTTTCCTCGTCAACCCAACCTAACCGTGAAATATTCCTTTTGTTGGTTAAAGAGTAACTGAAAAACTTCAAGTATATTCAGAAAATTTTTTATCCTGGTCATAATTATGTGAGATCACTCTACATTAAATTTTTGAAGCATGCCTTTATTAATCAGATTAAACTTTTGAGATAAAATATACTAAAAAACTGTCTATCACGACATATTCAAAAAATATTTATATTTTTGTTCAAATACACATAGAAATGAAATAGAATATCTCTGAATAAACAAATAAGAAGGTCTAGTATACCCCAATATACGAATGCCACGACTAGATAACACTGGAAGAGACGAAGAAAATATAACTCGATTGCTTACATTATGAGATTATATATATCTTGTTGGACAAAAAAAACAGATTCAGCCGAAAAATGTATCCCAATGCGCTTTTCGTCCATATTTGTATTCTGGTCTTGGATTTCGTTCAAGTGTCACTGATCTGGCAGGTGAAAAGAAGAATAGACGTTTATTCATCGTATGAGAAGATGGTTCAGACTCATCTAGATGTCGTTCATTCATTATCCTCTTTTGTAATAATTTTAATAATTTTGAATATTGACGTTTGTCATTTTTGTCACCGTCTTCACTGTTCGAGTTATATTGTCGCTCATATAATTGATCAACATTATTATCATCATTAATCATATCTGTTGCTTGTCGGGTTCGAGATAATGTGGGAGTGTCCGAATATTGTACCTTTCGACCACAAACAAGAGCTAAATACAAGTAAAAATTCACAAATAAATCCTGTGTCATTGATTCTAAACGCCTACTACAAAACATAAAAATGAGAATTCTCCACTATGACCTAACTCATTAGGAGTAAGAGTAGCATTTTATTAAGTTTGATTTCATTGTACGTAACAACATATTTACAAGAACGACGATAGTAATGACTCAAAAATTAAGGTGACATATGTTGAGAAAATCATTTCTCCTCAACATAAATTGGACAATTTTAGACGTAAACAATTGAGAGGATTCATTCAATTTTTTCGATGAGATATTCAAAAAAGCTCTAAAAGTGACTAATCGAACTAAAAGAAATAAATTTCAGTTATTGAATGTTTGTTTGAAGCCTTTAAATGATCTTTCATTTTTGTTAATCAGATTGCATTCGCCACGCAACAATAACACAAGAAATTGTGTTTTTAAAATTATTTTAAAATATTGTGTAGGTTGTTTTTTTAAACATTATTATTTTATTTCAAAAGATGATCAAGAAAAGAGAAGGAAAAAAAAGCGATTTAACTTTCTGTTTATTTCATTTTTCTTTAATCCTTAAAAAATACCATATGCTAATCCACATGAGTAATTCTATTCATTACAGCAAAACTTAGTTACTTATATTTACGTTTCTATTGTGTCGCTTATTAATGAGAATTTGTTTAAAATTATGTACTGTGTACATATTTCATGTTGCTCTCTTTCTTTGTATTCTTTGTATCATCACTACGGTTATTTTTATAATTACTTGAATTCATTACTCAATAAGGGCGTTAGTCCCTCTTTTTGAACATTTTAGTAGAAATGCTGTCTAAATTAGAACTAAGAATACCTAACGCCATCTAGTTGAAAGCTAGATAGAACATTTGTTTTGTTCTTGACTCATTCATTCTCTATCTACTCTCGTTCACGGAGTTCTAGAAAACTCTTTTATTCAGTATGCCGCGTTTCGGCCACTACAGAAGGTCATCTGACTCAACTCAAAATTATATTAGAAATGTCTGTTTAAACGGGTCCATCTCCATTTATAAAAAAGATGACGAAAATACGTCTTCGAAACCAGATTTTTTCAATGATAATAGCCTTATAAGTCGAAATCGAAAAGGTTTGAAAAGAATACTTTTGGGTTGAATCAAGATCAAAAAAGATATTCCGTTTGATTTTCAGCAAGCTAAAGCCTCATGCATTCTTAGTTTTTATATGACAGCATTTCCACAGAAACTTTAGAAGGACAAAAAAAGCAGAAGGCAGAAAAAAGCCAACAAGGACATCTAACTTATCAAAATCACTCAAGCTCCCGCTTAATCGTAGAGTTTTTCTATCAAATAGTTAGTTGCGCCCAGTAAATGTCCACTTGTTAGCTCCAAGCAGACGATCTAGTAGGCACTTAATTGAGCGATTAGCGCCGAATTCAAACGCATCAACTAGCTTTGATGGATGAAAAATTGGATCAGGTAACTGTAAGTGCCTACTTCACGATTTTCTTTTTCTGCTTGACGAGGTTTTTTCTCTTAAAAATCTAATTAGTATATAACTAGGAATTTCATCATACAGCTAAAGTAAAAGTGTACTTAAGAAAATTGTAGTTAATTATACTTACCAGTAAAAGTGAGGCACACAACCATAGAATAATACACTAAATAATACATGTTTTAATAGAGAATTTGATATCCTTTTGTAGACTTAAAATATTTGTTATAATTTTATAATATGCGTTCAAAAAAAATCAACTACCGGTTTTTACTTATATATATTTATTTACGATTGGGGTGGTAGTGATGGTGGTGGTGGTGGTAGTATCAGTCTGATTCACATCGATAACTAATTGAGAAAGATACAAGTAAAAGAAAGAATTGGATAAAATCTTTTGACTTTTTTTCTTTTCTATTCATAGGGAGAAGAAAAGTTTTGTGTTGAGAGGGATTATGCTCTTATTTATTTTCAATGTAGAAGACACCACAAGAGCCTACACACACACACGACAGAGGTGAAGACGAGAGAAGAAAAAAAAGACGTCGAAGAGAGGTAACCAAGTAATTATTGATCGAGAAAATTTTTTTTTATATGAATGACAAAGAAACAACAATCACCATTACCATCGAATATTGTTACCTGGCCATAATCGAATTTTGAATATGTAAAAAAAGTAGAATTCTATGGACAAATGGGATATTTGAAGAAATCAACTTCTTTTCTATACTTTTACTAACAGAAAGAAAAAAATAATCAATTGTCATTTTTTACCTCCGAAATTCGATATATGACTGATACGTATGAAGAAAAAAGTATAAGAGACTTCTGTATACGATAATTCGTAGTACTAACATATAACACTTGTATTGCAAAAGAAAAATTTGACTCATTACCTAACAATCATCTGCGTTGGCGTTTT